CGCTTAACGAGGTTGACATGCATACGGGGCGGGTATTTGACAAACGACCGTAATGGGATTTTGATGGGTTCACCTTTTATACTTATGACAAATTAAATTGACCTAATGCTGCAAGTAAAAACCTAAGTAAAGTGTAAGTATAATAAAATGGTTTTCACTGCAATAGTATAACGCTTTTTTCATTAGTAGAAAATCTAATTTTCTAATAGTATAAATCACAAGACGTATAAATAGTTAAACAAACAAATCGATTTTTAAAATCCTGTATAAGTAGAAAAATGTTAACCTATATTTAAGTCAATACTTATAATTTCTTAGCGGACAATTTATTTTTGTATATTGGACTTAAATAAACACGAGTAGGTAATCATTAATTATTAAAAAATTAAGAATTATAATTTAAATATTAATACTAATCTAAAACGTAATTTTGGTAAAACATAATAACACCTGGAGTATTTTAATTAATCTAAGACAATAGAAATGTGTTTCATATAATATGATAGTGTACATAAAAATAAATAAAAATAAAAATAGAAAATAAATAATGTATCTACTTAATGTAATCAAAGTACAAACTAATATAATTAAATAAAGAGCTACTCAAGGGATAGGTTAAGCTGTAATTAAAAATTTAATTTTTAATTTTTTAAATGTTAATTTAATGATAAAAAAACTTAAATGATAGTTTTATATTGTTTAAAATAAATGTCAAAACTTTAAACCCCAAAAGAAAAATTATTAAATAACAAATTTGTAAACATAACGATTAATTGCCCAAAAAAAAACATGTTAATGAAACAGAAGTATAATCGTCAGTTTAAAATTAATCAGTCGATGTATAATGTATATGTTTATAAACAAAATAAAAATGAATTTCAACAGAAATATAAATTAATAAAATAGCGGAAACAAGCACATAAAACAACACGTCATCATGCGGGGTAAGTAGAAGTGCTTCATCTCTCATTGTCAATACTAAAAAAACCAAAATGTTTCTACGTTTCTATATCGATATTTCATATGTGTGAAATTGATGTGAAATATTAGTGAATTTGATTGATGGATTATTATAAGGTAAAATAAAAATATTAAAAAAATTCGATTGAACATTTTGGATTAGGTAGCTGGTACCGCTCAAAATGTCTAGGTTTTGTTAGGTCAGGTTTGACAAATATATGATAAGGAAAATAAATTATTACACGGACGCCCAGATAAACTATAATTTACTAATAATTAATAAACATAATTAAATTAAGTTATTATGTAATATATTTTATAGATATTTTAGTATTTATACATTGTATACCTACGCATTTATTCGTGATATACTATGTACAAGCATGTTTGTGGTTTGGAATGACTTAGTCTGTGATAGACTTTTTACATTACATATTTTAAACAGTAGGTATACATTTTGTTTTCTTTAACACGCACACAACATATGTTTAGCCTACGGATTTTGTTCTTTAACAAATTAATATTCTAGAATATGTTTTATTCATGACATAATTCTTTATAATCATATACATTACAACATATAGGTAATGTAAAATACAAAATTCTAGTGCATACTTTCAACCAATTGATTGCAGTGCACTTGATTACTTAAAATGCTTAAATAGTATATTAAATTTTAATTTTGATTGTCAAACACGACATGATATTGATTTATTCATTTCTAGAGAAAATATTAATAATACGCAAAATGCTTAGTATTAAAAACCCTAAGATGTATAATATAATACGAAATGTCTTTCAATTTGTATTTGTCGATGGTCGTGCACAGACAGTGTTTTAATTATAATTATTTGTTCTGGAAGCATTAATATCCCGTTATTCCAAGTTTTCCCTGGATACAACCCAAACACGTAATAATGCATTTTAAAATAAAAAATATCAACTAATTTTCAGCTAATTACCAACAACAACAGATGAATATTATTATATGTAATAATAATAATAATATAACAAATATCACAAATTATCACTAAATATCTTTGTTGCTAATATAAAAATGCATTCTAAATATTATATTCATACTCGATATAATTTAGCCGTGTTTATATTAATACAATAATAATAACGAATCAAAAAAAAACTATTTAACGGGAATTAGTTAATAGAACCACGTTTCAGTTTCTTACCATTTTCATGGTTGGTGTTTATTCATGCGTATTATTCACTTCAGTAATTATGTATTGACATCTCAAAAAGCAGAAAAAAAGCTTTCGAAACCCCAAGTTTAAAAGAAAATCATTAAGCTCTATAGTAGCCAAGCATGATGTACTCAACCTCATGATCAGTTCTATATTAAAAACAGGATGTTACCCAAAATTCAGCGTTTATAGAATTTGCATTATGGCGAAAGAAGATGCATTCAATTTTAGTTATATCTAGCTAGTACCAATAAGGTAAAGTTTTTTGCAAAATAATTTACGACCAGAGGTATTTTTTTTTACAAATACGATAATTTGTTAAATGGAGGACAGTTAAGCTAATGTAAACGAAATCAACACTTTAGTACAAATAATAATACTAACTATTTTAGAAATCTCAATGTTTTACGAACAGCTTATAGTCACAATAGAAATAAAATACATTTGCTATAATGTATTATTCTTTATATTACTCTACATTGAAGAAATTATATACTTAAATGGAAAACAAATTATTTATAAGGTTAAATCATTAAGAATTAAATAATATATTAAATATAATAATACTAAATATTAGTTTTACTAACTAATGAAATATGAATATTATGTCTGAATTAATTAATCTCGGATAAGTTATAATTAAACAGTTACCTACGAAAATAAAGCGTGGGATATGATTGTGTTAGAATATTTAAACTCAGGATATGACATAATTTCTTAAATCAAACCAATAGAAGCTATTAAGTTTTTATACGGTGACTTAAAAAAATGTTTATGAAGTTTACCTCGTTTAATTTATTAAAAGCTAACAAAATACATATCATATAAAGGTTAATCTATCCATATATTATGTATTAACTTTCATAATATTACTCAATTGAAATTAATTTTTTTTTTTTTTTTTTTTTATTGGATAACCCGCGGCAACATAGGCCATTGGGTGTTGGTAGGGAACTGTAGGTTTTTTTTTTTTTTTTTTTAGATTGGGTAGGTTGGTACACGTGTGTGTTTGTGGTGGCAGAATTTTTATTGGGGCACCCGTAGGTTTCTGCCATGCCCCGGGTTGGGGGATGGCGGCACTTGTACTCCGGACACCGTGACTTGCCCGGAGAAAAATGCCGCCCAGTGGTCGAGAGGCGAACCCGCGACTGCCAGCGCCGCAGTCGACGCGTTAGACCGCTCGGCCACCTCGTCCCCCTGAAATTAATTCTATCAACTCTAAACACATAATAATATGTTATATCCAATACAATCTTTACACATACAGAAGCAATATAAAAATTATTTATAGACAAATATTTAAAAAATAAATCTATAGACATAACTTTTATTTATATTCATTTACACATTATATAACTTCAAGCAAGATCGTGTGAAGTTCGAAAGATTTGTAAGTTACAGTCAAGAGAAAACCATTATAAATATAATAATAATCTTCATTCACTGTAAATTTGAGTTTTTTTTGTTTATAAAAATAAAACAAAATAAAATAAAATAGCTATTGTCAATAAAATACAAAGGGAAAAAATCAATAAACTGCGCAAATACCTATAAGGTTATTACATCTCTTATCCATTGTCTTTGAAACTAAACAAAAATACTAACTTAAGAATCATCATTTAAAGTATTGTATATTAACAGAATATAAAACATTTAAGTAAATATAAAATACCTTTGTCTTTGAGTAAATTAAGAAGTATTAAGATATTATTGTAGATCGAATAGCGTAAATATTGATTTTGATAGAAGTTGTTTAGGGTTTAAAAATACATTTATATATGAACAAATGGAAGAGGAGATTTCTATTTTCAACGTGTTTGCCCTTTGTTCTTTAATGATGAGCTTTTACGCGTTACAGAATAATAATACTCTTTTACCCTCTTGTTCTTTAATATCTTTCTAAGGAAGAACCTTATTTTTTCTACATTGTTATATTGACTGATGTTAAAAAATATAAACTGTTGAAAACCGCAATGCTTGCAGAGATGTAATATAATGCAACGAAGAATATAATACTTGGTAACATTAATAACTATTACATATATATATTTGAAAACAACGTTAAACATGGTTAATCTTAAGGGGATTGGAAGCGGCGATTTTCTGTCTTTATCTAACACACGTGGAACATAGGATTATAGACGTGTTCTATGTCCAACGTACCGATTAATCTAATGAAGCGATAAGAATTCTGAAAACAGATTTGAATTTGTCGTCAAGTCTACTTGAGATCGACTTTCCCACATTTTTGATATTGTCCCACCAAAATCATAAAAATGATATATTATAAAAAGTACTTAAAAAATTTACAAATTTCAACTTTTGGAGAAGTTTAAATCAAAAAATCAAAAATGTGGGAAAGTCGATCTCAAGTAGACTTGACGACAAATTCAAATCTGTTTTCAGAATTCTTATCGCTTCATTAGATTAATCGGTACGTTGGACATAGAACACGTCTATAATCCTATGTTCCACGTGTGTTAGATAAAGACAGAAAATCGCCGCTTCCAATCCCCTTAAAAACCAAACACATATCAGACATATCTATAGGTATTAAATTCAAAAAAAATGAATTGTTTAAGACATAGGGTAAGAAAATAATTACGAATTTTAGAATAATAAATGTATCACGATGTTGACAAATATAATATAATAATAATAAAAGTAATATCGCTAACATACATCACATTATTATACAAAAAAATAATTATTTTCAATGTTTTTTTCTAACGTTATATCTCACTACAAGATGGACATCTCACATCAAAAATCTTTCTTTTTTTTTTTATGTAATTTATAAATTTGTCTAATTTTTATGCACTCATATTAAGTATCACTTACCGTATCTGGACAAGTGTTCATCATTGGCACAAGGTATGTTTCCGTTTGGTTCAATTCGATCTAGGTATTCCTCAGAATAACCATTGAATTGCAATTTACTCGGCAGTGCATCCCGAGATGTTCTATTACGATCAGGATCTTCTTTAGAAATAGCTGGAAAAAAATATAAAATTAATATAAATGTTATGAAACATGATGCAAAATATTTTTAAACCATACGGTATAAAACTTTTTCATTTTAAAATATCATAAATATCATAAATATATTTTATAGTGTATACTAAAAATGTATTTTCTAGTAAAAAATATTTTTCTATATTGCCATTTGAAGAAGATTTACATATTTCCTTCAATGTGTATAGCTTTTTTTTTTTATTATAAATATCATACCATTGAGGTGAACAAATATATTCAGTAAATCTGTGTCAAACATAATATATACTCAAAATTTCAGTCAAACATTTAAAAGTTTATTCATCGAAATCTAAATGGTGAAATAATATCCTCTCCGAGAAATGTTCAAATATTAATAGGTTCCTAGCATTAACAAATCCCAATTTAGTATAATACTTTGTAACTTGCTATACAACCGATTAAAACGACATTAAATAGATTATTATTGTATTTAAAAGTCCCACGGAGTTACGGAAATGAGAAGACCTAGATGGCCGGATTACATATAAATGCAAATATTTAGTTAGCACAATATAAACTTTTGTTAATTATCGATTATGAATAATATATGTAAGTTTATAAATATGTTTTATACTGTTTGAAAAAATTATTAATTATCCAGTGTAGTTATCAAAACGATACGTGTCGTCTTAATATTTTACCATTTCACTATTATAGTATAGAACTATAATAGACACCTAATTTATAGAATATTATTATATCAAATATATATTATATATTATAATACTTTATTTTCCTCATTCATTCTGTATTAAATAAGGTATAAAAAAACGTTTAATTTATAATTAAAAGTTTAATAAAATACATTAAAGACCAAATATGAAAATCATAATAACATTTTAAATGCACACGCTGATTTATTAATCACTATAGAGTATATAGATAGTATATGACGAACATTTTTTTTGTCAGTTTTATGAAGTTAAGTAGAACTATAAGACAGTTTATTTTATAATAAGTTAAAATAAATAATATATTTTTTTAATAAATTTATTTTAAGTTTAATTTAGTAAACACATTTTAAATGGTTTAAGTACATTGAATAAATACAATAAATACAGATAAATAAAAATTTAATTAAACAAAGAATAATTAAATGCAGAAAAGCTTAAAAATGAAAATGAAATGAGAATTGTTACGTTTATAGAAAATGTCCCAAATAAAAATACAAAATACATATAAAAATGTTTGTATATAATTCTTAGTTAACTATACAATAATGAATGGTTATTTATTTTTTTTTAATTAAATTTGACTTGAATAAATTCACTTCAGTAAGTTTTGTACAATTAAACAATTTGTAAAAATGTAATAAACGATATTTAATATACAGGCGAGATCACCAACTATGAAGACCTTTTGACTTCGTAATCAAAATGTAAATCGTATTATAATTCAAAGTTGAAAACTATTTGGTTGAAACAAAAAAATTCTATATTATAAAATTATTTTGCCAATGCGTATTCCCTTTGATAGTCATCCACATAATTCGTTAATTAAAAATATTTGTGGTTTTAAATGCACTGCGAATTAATTAACATATATAAAACATAAATATCGTATTCCAGTTTCAGTTAGGGTAAATCAATTAACATTAAATTGATGAAAAATAAAACAAAATAAAAATATGAGTGATTCGATCATATGTTTTAAGCATCACTATATGTCGTAAGATTATTAATACATTTAACTAGGTAAGGTTTATAGTATAATAAAAACACGATTTAATATTATTACTGTAAATAGTGAGTGATGTTTATTATTTTTTTAAGGAGATGTTACAGTGACATATTTTGTTGTCTCCGTCTTAGAAGTGTGTAACGCATAGCAAATTTTACGCTCAGCAGAACACGTTTATCTCCGTTAGTTTAAAAATTAAAGATAATTGACCTCTTATACAATTTAAAGGTAAGATTATTATCTAGACAATGACATAGGATTTTTATTATATTTTAATTTTAAAGCGTGTGATGAGTATTTTAAGATATACAAACAGTTTACAGTTTTCAAATACACACAACTCGCTTTTAAATAAAATATAATAAAAAGCCTATGTAATTGTATAGATAGAAGTCTTACATTTAAATTTCATAAGAGCTCAATTCGCTATAATTTTCAAACTAACTGAGATTAAGTGTTCAGCTGAGCGTAAGGGCCAATACTACCATATCCGGTTAAATTTAACGGACTCCTACCCAGCGGAATTCGCCCGGTAATAAAATCTGTTATCAGTCAGTTAAGCGTAGGTAATCGAAGTGTATTCAATGATAGTAATACTGGCCCTTAGCTATGTTACGCATTTGTAAGACAGTGACAAATAATGTAACTATAACGTCCCCTTAAGTAACGGTATGAATTGTTAATCTCATATTTCGAAGCAGAATATTTTTCTAAGAATTTTGATACAAGAAAATCGAATTTTGAACGATTATTTAAATATAAAGTAATAAGTTATAAGTATTTAAAGTTAAAATAAGCGAATAGGACAATAGGTACATTAACATTTTTCATCGGACCCCGGTTAGGTTAGGTTATCTGTATATTATACAGTGTATAAGCTTAAATAAATTACATACCTGTAAGAAACTAATTAGGTACTTCATCCAAATTTGGATTCATATAAATCGAATTTTCTGAAAAATATTTTGTTTTGGGATATAAAATTCAAATCTTGCCACTCAAAAAAGTAATAAAGGATAAATAAATAGTAAAAAATATGGCAAGTGGGTGTCGCTCTGCTGTACAGTAGGTTACAAGTAGGTCACTGTAATGGTTGGTGTTAAATTTGAATTCAATGATATAATATCATTGTATATAAGAAAACCGATTCTGAGCGAAAACGGTCAGTCAGCCTACGATATTACTAAGTATATTTGACGATAATAATATTATTGTGAATAAAGTATAATTTATACATAAGCGGAAAATTGTTTTAAATTTTCAATCCTTAGCTATAAAATTTGAACATTTTATACATTTTTAACTTCAAAATAATTATTAAATTTTAAATGTAGTTTGTCAAAATTCGAACTTGTGCTTTGTATTTTTAATATTTTTCAACCGATGAAGTAACAATATATAAGGAGCCTTATATTACATTTTTACGCTTTTTTACCCAACAAATAAAACTTTATTGACAATTATAAAAGAAATACAAAAAAAAAATGAAAACTGAAAAAGTCCGTAAACGGTTCAAAAAGAGTCAAAATATTTTCAATATTATGTATAGTATATAGAAAATTAAAATATAAGAATTCAGTGGAAATTGTAATGTATCTATAGTTATTCGTTTTTGAATTACAACAAAATGACAACATTTCTACATGATAAATCGAATGAATATCCGATCTTTTAAAAATATGAACTTCAAAGGGTTATACAAATTTAACTTGATTTGGTTGTAGACATTTTTTTTTTGATAAAGGTAGACGAACTTATGAGGCATCTAGTATTACATTTTCAAATGTTAGATTTTAAAAGAGAATTTTTTATGACATCTTAACTAAAAATAAATATGCTTGTAAAAAAAGTGTGACTAAGGATTTTTAACATTTTTTTAATTTTATTGTAACAGTATAGTAGGAGCCTGGTATTAAATTTTCAAGCTTTTTTACGCAACAAATAAAATTTTATTGACATTCATAGAAAAAAAAACTAATAAAATTGGAAACTGAAAATATCCCTAAATAGTTCAGAACAAATATAATTTAAATAAAAAAATAATTTGAAAATTTTATCGTGCACGGAAAATGCAAATAAAAACAACCAGTGATAATTTCATGTATAAACGTCAATTTATTTTAGAGTTACACCAAAAACCAATATCAATTTTGTCGAAAACCGATTTTGCGTGAAAATTTTTATTTTTCCTTAATTTTTATTTTGTTTTCTCTGAGCTTTTGAAAACTACTAAGAATTTGACTTCCCGAATGCACCAACTAGACTCACTTTCCAATCGAACAAGACACTGTTGAAGAAAATCTAGGCAGTTTTACTACCCCAAACGGTGATGATAGACACAAAAATAAAAAAATAAAAAAACACACATCATTGTAATCGCTCAGCTCAGAATCAAAATTATAATTATTTCAAGTTTTTTTTATTTTGTAATAAATTAAAATTATGTCAAAAATTATATTCAAAATAATAAGTGCACTTGTTTTTGGTTAAATAATAAGTCCGAATATATAAAAACTATAATCAATTAACAACCAATAAGTGAGCATAAAATATAATTTATCATGTTAATTGTTCGTAACAATATATAATATATTATTACCTATTACATTTTAAAAATATTAGAACTAAAAATTAAATTACACGTTATATTAAAAAAATACACTTTAAATGATAAAATAAAATGAGTTTCATTTTTCAGACCAAAACACATCATTACAAAATTAATGATATTTTGTTCATTGAACTATATAAAGCAAATCGTTTTTTACTAAAGTAATTTTTTAAAAGGTTTAGGTGGGTTATTAGGGGTTTACCTCATAGACATCCATCTTTTTGGTTTATAGAATGACTTTCAGTTTAAGGAAGTAATGGTTTTTTATTTTTTTTTTCGTAAACCGTCTTTTTGCATTAATTTTCTGTGATGACAACATGCTTGAAGTGGTTTTAAATATATATATACTTCAAAATATACAATAAAAAATGCATTGTAAAGATTTAGGTACCTACCTACTTCAAGTTTGATTTATATTTTCGATGTTTATTAAGGACAATACAACTAAACAGGGTATCAAACATTAAAACATAGTACCTAGCAGAAAACCTACAGATGAATACGTATAGTAATGTAGTATATAGTAATACCTACAGAATATTAAATCATTACAAACAGTAATAATATAGGTTAGGTTAAGTTAATATATATGTACAGACATACTAAAGTATTGCTATAAGCCCAAACTTTCACTCACGAATTATTTGGTTAAATAAGTTTGCTGGAT